TTATGCAGACTAAGTGTAAGTGGAAAACTAGATGTTCCCATCAAATGCATTCACCTTTCTTCTTGTTGCCAAAATACCTAAAACACAGAGCACCCCCTACCCCACATCAAGGAAGGAAAGCAATTCAAGGGGAAAGAAAGTTAGTTTGTCCTCTTACATGATGTTGCAGGCATTTGTTTAAACTATATTTGTAAAGGTAAATGGCCACTAATAGATTTTCTTTCGCCAGAAAAAAAAAAATTGCATGAGTTACACTTTAGGAATAAAGAGGGGAAAAAAGAAAATATTACCTAAACATTGAAAAAAGGAATTCCTCCATTTAGCTCCTTTGCACTTAGACACATGCAAAGTAAGGATATACATGATAGGCTCTATTCTACACAGACAGCAGTGGGACGATCTCTTGGTAAAGATTATGGGGGAAGATGGTTTGGGGGAAGGTATTTTGAACAATCCAAATATGAACATGTGTCTAGTGTCTGTAAGATACACAAAAACGCGACAAGAAAAATGTTCCACCGAGAAAAGACTAGCTAACTTCAAGGAAAACACTTTTGTTCACTATAGTCAGCATTTTCTCACTTCACTGTACTTTCTAGATCTCCGACTCCCTGATCTGTTCCTTTCTCACTATCAGCTCGTTTTATCTGAGTCATGGGAACAGGCTCATTTATGCATAAATTACCCAGGTTAATTTCGGAAGGTAAGATTTCCCAAAGCGACCGTGCAGAAGCATGTTAATAAATTTTTAATGCTTACCAAAATAGTGTAAAAGTTTGGGGTTTGGACAAAATCAATAAAATGTTGAAGTATTTTATTGAATAAATAAAGGGCATAGGGGATGCTTAGAATCCCTAGCTACCATTTCAAACTGTAATTGTAAATTTGGCACAAAAAAGGTCTTTTTTTAAAGATTTTTACGTAACTTTACTAACAATTGTCACCCCAATAAACTCTAATTGAAAAAAAAAAGATTTTTGTTCTATTTCTCATGAGTCGTTCCTGAGAAAAACTGCTAGAATGTTTGCCAGTGACTTGGACCTGGGTTTTATGACTTGGTAGAATGTCTGAATTGAGTTGAGCAACACTGGGATGGTTAGGGGTGCTGAAGCCACCTGGGGTAGAGGTTTTGCTGACACCAGGAGGCAGGATGGGCTGTGGGCTGTTGGGAGGACCAGCTCCAAGGCTGCCATCTTTGCACATGTAGGGTGATGCTAACACCCAAAATGTCTCTCCATCTGTGATTCTTTGTTAGCTCTATTCCTAAGCCATGAGATAAGGGGCCTTCTCAAAGGAACCAGGTGACCACCTGTGTATCTCTTGGCATCTCTCTGTGGCCACTTTCAACATGGGCTAACACACCAGGCACTTGTAGATCGGCACAGATAAGGTGGGTTCCCCTTCCTTGCCTCACTACCATCTCACTGGACTTTTGCATTTCCAGTCAGTCAGTTAACATATATTTATGAAGCTTCTGCCATATGCCAGACTAACAGCTAGAGATAGATGATCAAGTAAGCAGACACATCAGATGGGGAAAGGAACGGGGAGTGTGGGGAGAGACCAAAATACTCAGGATCTCTCAAAGAGGGAGTCTATAAAATCTTTAGAAGGAAGAACAGAGCTGAAGAAATCTCAACCCCTCTCCTCCGACCTGGGGCTTACCCTCCTCCACCCCCACTAGCACCAGAGGCACAAAGGACTCCAAGCAGGTGTGAAACAAACAAACGAAGGTGATAAAGAATTGTGAGGCAGCTCCAGGGAGGCCAAGCAGGACATAATCCGCTCTTGTAGAGAATAACACTTCTCCATTATCTAGTTTACAGATGGACCACCCAGAAAATCTGGGAGCAATTAAGAGGGGGAAAACAAATAGGGGGGGGGGTTGCTGAGAATGTTGGGAGGCATGGAGTCCCAAAACTATCTTCTGCTAAGAACTCAAAAGTGAGGCAAGACACCGGGACCAGTAAAAAAGGAAACGGGGTGTAACCAAGTGGGTTACACGCACATTCACACCCACAATCACATTAGCTACAGTCGTGAAAGTTACAAAGTGACCAGAAAACAGATTTTACAACGTAGAAGGTAGGAAACCACATTTAAACTCTAATTATCTTCTGATATCCATTTGAACATTTAAACGTGAATTCTGAACAGGATAAGGAAATTTTACAAATTACATTCTTTTTATCAACAAGCAAAGATGGGCTCACATACTTTGGTAAACCGACTTTCATTTTGGAAAATATTTATGAATAAATAGTTTTATATGAAAAATAAAGAGATGGGCTCACACTCTCTTTCAATGCTGACAGCCCATGACACACTTCAATGTCATGACTCTCCAGTCAACCTGAAGATTAGCAGCGGACATTTTGAGTTCCCGTCAGCGGTCAGGCAAGATGCTGTGTTGTACATAATGTTTCATAAACCCTAACCCCTCTCCCCTCCAACTATTAGTCTTCTTCTATAAGAGATGAAGAGTCCACTTATTATATGAAATATCTTGCTCAAGGTCATGTGGCTAATCAGTTGCTGAGCCAGAATTCAAATGCAGATCTCTGTGAAATGCACGCAACCCTCTACTCTGAGTGGGGTTTGCTCTCTGCACACAATCTGCCTTGCTTCTTTGCAGAGGCTGTCCCTCTGCCGGAAATACACTCTCATCATTTCTATCTACCAAGTTCTTCACCTCCTCAAAGCCCTGTTTTCCATCCTGTCTCCGACATGAAGCCTTTCTTGACCTCTTAAGCCAAATGGCCTCCTGGATTGCTGCCATTTCTGAATGCCCTCCCTGATACTGATCTCATGTCCATGCCTGTTTTAAGAACCGGCACGAGACCCTGCCCACATCAGATGGAGCATGTTTAAGTGCGTTCTCATGCTGCATGATACGTAATGTTTTCCTGTCCAGTGTCTGCAAGGAGTTTTAGAATTCTACTTTGAAATTCTCATTTCACTTAAAAATGACTTATGGCCTCTCAGCAATCACTTGAGAAGTCTTGAGACAGGAGAGCCTGTAAGTTGTTTTCAAATAATGACAGAACTTCTTGTGCTTATTAAGCCTAACAGTAATTAACACTGATAAGCATCTTGTATGCAGAGTGTTAAACATTTTTTCATTTCAATTTGCAGAGGCTTTCCCTTCTTTTCAGAGCCGGTGAATGTGTTTCTTTTCAGGTCTCAGAGAATTCTGTAGGTCCTTGAAAATCTAGAAGGTGCTCAGCACTGTGCCGAAAGTACCAAAGGGGCAGAACAGCCCTGCTCCAGCCTGAGCCACTGCTGTCTTGCGTAATGGTTATAGGCAGGTGTGCTGTAAGCCCAGCCCCTGCCTTATAGTCGGGGTTGTAAGCTTACTGATTTTTGTCAAGTGGACTGATACTTCCTTACAGTGACCAGCACAGCTGCCACACAATGAGTGCTATGGGCTCACTAATTAAAAAATAAGTCATAAATAAACACAAAACCACAGCTTCAACTACATACTCTACAATCCTATTTCTAAAAGAGTGACGGTTATTGGAAATTATACTCTTAATATTTCTCAAAATGTTTGGCCTCTCTTTCCTTTTAAAACAAATTCTTTGTCTTCACTGCTTTGAAAGATGGTACGAATACACAGACTCTAAACATAGCAGGAATCTCGGGAAGTATTCAACTACTAGATTTTTTTTTTCATTAACAGTTGGCTACATGCTTCCTTCTAAGCATTTATAGGAGAGTGGTACTTAGTTTTTGAGACGTTGCATGTCTCTAAAACAGCAATGCCTCTTTATTATGCTGCAAAGTGTTCCTGGGTCCAGGTGAATTTCCTTTAGTATTATTTGATTTTAACTAAATGCAACCTGATAACATTTTAACATATGTGATTAAACAAAAACTACTCACATACCCAACTGCTAGGTATGTGGAGGAGGGGGCTGATTGATGCTCTATGAGAAATAATGAGACGGAGCACACTTGCTCATCTCCATGAACTAGCCAGTATGTGACACGATACTTTCCCAACACCAGCAGAAAATAATAATTCGCTAAAAACAAAACAAAACAACCTCTCCCTGCCAGGTATACATGAAGTGAACTGTAACAAGATTTACAAGAATAACATGCACTATTCAGCATACAAACCTTCATAGGAGATACACATTAGGGTACTAATGGGGCCTGATAATCACAAGGCCTAGCTATTAGATACTCTTTGGTAATATTGCTAAAACTGAACTTTTCCACCTTAAGATTATATTGCTACTATTTCTGTTTTCAGCATCTGGCTTGTCTTGCCCATATCCAGACCCAATAAAAACCCCAGTTTAGCCTGAGGGCAGGCCCAGTGACCCAGAAAGTCAGATTTCATGTTGCCCCCGAGAGAGTGTAATTTAAATCTCACTATGACGGGCCAGCCGAGTGGCGCATTGGTTAAGAACTGGCTTGGGATGCCAGAGGGCCCCGGTTCGGATCCCACATGAGGGCCAGTGACACTGCCCTCTACAGCTAAGATGCTGAGCAACAGCTCAACTTGGAGCTGGGCTGCCATGAGTCGCTCGCGGCGGTGTTGGCTGCAAGCCCTGCTGCAGTGGGTTGCCATTGGCTACCGTGTGTAGCCAGCAGCCAGCATGAGTGGCCAACAACCGCAGTGAGCGGTTGTCCAGAAGCCGGCGACTGATCTGCCTCGCCCGGGAAGAGCGCAATGATGGTGCCAACTTGGGCCAGTGAAGCAAAATCCTCCACAACTAGACTGAAGAACAAAAGGACAGCAACTTGTCTGTTCCCCTTCCCCTAATTCCCCAGCGCTGTTCCCATCCCCCAATTCCCCAATAAAAATCTTAAAATAAAAATAATAATTTCACTATGACTACATTTAGAAAATAACCAAAATCCTTCAAATGAAGCACCCCACGCTCGCATTGGAAACCGAGAAGAGAGAAAGAAACGAGAAGGAACAGTAGGGAAAAGGGGGGGGGGAATGCGTGTTCTTTAAATGGCCGCACGAAGATGCCTACCTCTTTCCATTACTGTCCCGAAGCATGGCCTTCCCCATCACTCGGGACTTAGTTTCCAGCTCCTGCACTTCCTCCAGCAACGTTTTTTTGCAGGTGTGCTTGGCCCTGTGTCACAAGGAAAAGAGAGTGAGAACACGACACATGAACTTTACACAGCTGTAAAGATCGGTTGTTCCCCTCTTGGGCCACATCTGGATGCCCCCTGACTGGCGGAGGCTGAGGCTTAGGATGTCATGGAGCATTCACGGTCCCCGTGCACGGCAAGGGCTCCACCTTCATAACCTGGGGAGTATCCCAATCCCGGCAGAACCTCAGAAGTTGTCGTCCTAAACACCACTGCTTTTGCTGAAAGCTGGAAGTTCTGTCTGAGGACCCCAGCCATTCAGACCAAAGACTGGGGTTCCTGGATATGCATGGGTCCATAGCTAAAGCTTTTCACCGCAGGACCTAACAACCCAGAAGATGCGTTAAGTCCTCACCCTAGTGGACATGTGCTGGTCCCTTGGCCTTGTCCCCTCCTGTGATCAGAAAGTCTGCGTGAGCAGCTTCCTCTCTCTCTCGAGTGTGAAAAGAGCCACTGCCCCAGCAGGAATAAGATTTATAATGCTAGAGACCAGGCTCTTCGTGCCAAACCCTTGACCTGAAATTTGGGGTTGACACAAGTGTCCAGTCACAGCTTTTCCATCTCCTTCTTACATAGCCTTGCCAGGGGGCCACAGGGTGTCACGGGTGCCAAACAACTGATGAAGAGGCACAAACAAGCTGGCCTTTCCACCACAGCCTAGGACACGTCACTTGTCTGGAACTGAGAAGAGCTACCTGCAGCCTTTTTCTGATTAAACTCAGAGGAATGTTTGAATGAGTGGCTGGTCTTGGGGTCTTCCTAAGATTAGACTAAACAGAAAGCTACTGGCTGGAAACAATGGTGGTGAAGAAAAGGCATTTAACAAGATACAGGTTGGAAACAGGAAAAAAAAAAAAGCTGTAGAAAGAAACATTCATAGCTTAGCAATACATGGCAGGTTTGCATATTTGAAAAGCTTTTCATTAGTTTTCATATAGATGACTATAAAGAGCCTGTTAAACACCAGGATTCCAAGGCAGAATAAGAACAAAAACCAAGCGTGGATCTGCGTGGACATGAACACAGTGTCACGAGACAATTCTGAAGACGTGTGCTATTTCAGTGGAATCACATCGTCCCACCCACCCTCCACCTTCAAGGAAGGGACGTCTGTTAAGATAATGCCGAGCCATCCCCTAACACTCCGAGCTAATCTGTAATGGAGTATCAGTACTAACACACTGTATATGTGCCTGTCATTCCTTTTCCCCAAAGTAAACACGAGGACTTAACCACACGGGTTTTAACACATAATACCTTCATTACACCAAGCAGTGTCCCAAGACTCCGCAGTGATAAAAATACTGCAGTTCAAAGCCGAGACCATGGAATTTTAATTTAAAACAATAAATTAGAGAAAATGTTTAACATTGTGCTGGGAAGAAAGCAGCCAAAAAGAACATTAAAACGTACACTGTTCAATATAATTGAATATGCTGTGCCCCAAACTCTTCCTTTTATCTCAAGGGCTTATGGGGCTCTATTGATAACAAGCTGACTCAATGGCAACCCCCAGCTCACTTGGATTCACCCCAGATACGCAGGTCCCATGAAAACAGGTCTGGTGAGTCCTCAGCCATGAGCTTTCTCACTTTCTCAGGACTGTCCTGACTCCACCATCATCCTCTCTTCTACCCGCCTTGCTCCCCACACAGAGCCAGCAGAGTTCATCTAGACCAGTTCCAGTGTTATCTTCTGGGCTGGGCGAGAAAGGCGACCGTGAGAAGTAGGCTGGGAAAAAGAAGGCTGGACTACGGGGCGCAAGGCACTGGAAATCTGTAGATTAGGTCAAGAGAAAAAGGAGTCCGCCCTACCACGCCGAAGCAAAATCACCTCAGAGGGAAACAATGGAAGCTTCTTGATGCTACTAAGCACGGTGCACGTTCTTAGCAGAAGAACTACATCCACGTCCAAGAGTTAGATGGCAACACCCCAGCATGTCAGCAGGCCAGCCCCGTGAGCTAGCCTGGGAAAGTGACCAGGATGTGAGGACACTGAAAGGCGACACTGGGGATGACTGGAGGAGAAGTGATGCTAGCAACGTAAACGCATTTTCTCAAGAACGTTGACCTAATAAGGCCTTAGGCAAATGATTCTGAAATTTACCCTGTCAGAATCTACCTGTGAATTGACAAAAACCTAGGTTTAGAAAGCCAGTCTTGAAGCATCAGCCACTGGCGTGTAATTTAGGTCTCACCAGGAGCTGGGGTTTGGCTTGTTGTGAATCACAGTTTGAACAGAGTGAACCCCATTATCTGTGAATGGCTTAATTCCAGTGGTCCAGGGCTTGCTTCATCTAACCCCACATCAAGACACCAGAGGATCCCAGAAGGGGCAGGGAGTGGGTGCTTGGCCATTGCCAGAGGGTGTGAGATTCGTCTGTGAGACTTCAGATAGTACTAAGGGTATCTCCAGGTTATTAGGGGCTTTTAAAATAAATAGGTCAGCTTAGAATCTTGAACTTTTCATCTCTCTGTTTCTGAAGTTCTTTTCCTGGACTCTCTTTTGCATGGAAGGAGAGCAAGTTAAAAGGAAATGTTAAATTCTAAGTGTGGATAAAAATGTAACACACAATGCGCTTCAAAAGAAATTCATTTAGTAAGGAAAGTTTTTCAAAAACCAAGGCCCACTTATATACAGAAATTTCTTATTACCTTTTATTTCCATCTAACTGCCAATCTGGGATTATAATGAGGAAATGAAGTCATTCTGGAACTCGCTGAATGTATTGTGTGCCGACTGGTAGAGGATAGGAGACACAAGTTAGATAAGAGGCTGGTTCCCATGTTCAGTGGCCTTGAGCTTTATATTATTTTTTATGAAGCAATACTGACAAATTTCTCCTAGATGAGAATAAGGACATGGCAGCTTACCTAAGAATGCTGTCATAGGTAAACATTTTGGAAGAGTGTAAGCTAAAGGATATTAAAATAGTTTGGGGCAATTTAAACTTCATGCTTCTAATAAAAATACTCATTAGCCAGGTATCACATATAATCAATCAATTATTTTAATAAAAGATGTATTAGTTTAGTCCCTCATGAAAACTCTGGTTAACAGGATAACAGAGTAGGTGTTTTATGGCGTCCAACTGACTTAAGATAGTTTAATAATGGATCTTCATCCAGAAAGTTGACAGATTTCATGGAAAAAATGACCGAATTACCTCATGCTGCTTTTTTCTTACTCTTAACACTCCAGGTCCTGAAATGGAAGACAAAGACTGGGGGGAAGGCGGGGGGAAAATGCATAAAAACAGAACGACTCACTTTTTTTCAGCACTCATAGAAATATATATGAAATATATATTGTGCTGGAATTTAAAAGCTCTTTCGAAACAGTTAACCACCAAAATTCAAAACGAAACAAAAAATCCTTAAGATGGGCCCAAGACAGTAAGGAAACTGTTAGACTCCTAACATCACCCACGGGGCCTTCACAGTGAAGTGCTTCAGGTGTGCCTTAGTTCCGATTCCATTAATTTAAAACTCCTTCAAGTCCAAGGTGCATCAATAGCACATCATGTTCCAATAAATATATGACAATTTGAACCAAATGATGGGTGGAGCTGGACAACCAGGATTAATATTTTAGCTCAGTGTGCAGAAAGGAACAACCAAACACGTTTTACAAAGCTGGGGTTCAGGAAGAGAACTCAAGAGTTCAGTTTGGGGGCCTCCTCAGAGATAAGCAACTCACACTATGCTTTTTCTTCTTGGGAGAAGACTCTGAATGTACTTGATTCAACAACAAATCTCTCAGCCTGGGAGTGTAATATGAGATAAACCTGGGCTCATGATCAGAGGCAAATGCCTAAATGAACTTGCAAGATGCTTGTTTTTGAGGAGAGAAGTGGCTCGTTTAGCCGTTAAATATATATTATGTGCTAAGCCTATACTTTGGGCAAATGCTCCAGGTGAGAGCCAATATATGCCATACTCCCTGCTCCAAGTAAAAAACGAGACAAAAATGTATTTCAGCATCCAGAGTCAGTTCTCCTTCCATCACCATATATTTGATCCCATTTACCTTCATCTAGCACTCCCCTTGCCCCTTACCTGGGTGGTGAACACACAATGTGATGTATAGATGATGTATTACAGAATTGTACATTTGAAACCCATGTAACTTTACTAACCATTGTCACGCCAATAAACTTTAGTTACAAAAAATATATTTTATAAAATGCATTTTAGGAAGTGGCCCTGGAATTTAGGAGGCATGGGGCCCTTCCGGCTCAGCCCAAAGCAGGGGATCCTGGGAAGGGCTGGGTCCTGGGCCTGTGGCGTGGGGCTACGGGCAGGACAGCACTCATGGTCCCCCCTCCAACACCCCCACCACCACCACCAGGGCCTTCTTTACAGGGTCCCTACCCTGCTGGCAAGGTTCTTGGAAAGAAAGCGACTTTTACTCTTTCCATATGGTAGAGCTGGAAGCCGGGTCATTTGATTTATTCTCGTTAAAATGTAAATGATGCTAACTTTACAGTGCCAGGAGTCGGGAAGAGATACCATCCCTGCTTGAGGGAACAGATAATTTGCTTCATGATGATGGGGGGACTTTTACTTGGAATGTATTGGAAAATATCCAGAAAATAGACAAGGAGGCAGAGACATTGCAATCTGAAAACATTCTCTTTGAAATGGTAGAAAGATATTTCTGCTAACGTCTCATTTGGCAAATATAGTCTCGATAACAAATTTTTTTCATGATGCTAATTTAAGATAGTGGACTAAAATAGACTGAGATTAATTTATAATCAAATCACTATTTCAATCTCTGTAAAGTGAAAAGTCATCTGGTGTAGCCAAGACCTAAAACTAACTTGATTATTTTGCAAAATTGAAGAAATTCAGCAGGGTAATGTGCCATAATTGAGCTATGTGCTATAACAGAACCTACATTTTCTTTTCATGCACTTACTAGATTAAGAAAACATCCTTCCTGGCTATCATTTATTTCCAAGGATCCTGATTCTGCTATCTACAGAACACCGTTTTAGCAGATAAAATGCAAGTAGTGGTAAATCAGAGCATTTAAGAAATTAGAATTATTTAATTTTTACTAAGAGTTGTAAAACTTAGTGAGCAGAAGAAAAAGCCACCCAAAATGTGTGCTATAAAATTCTCTCTTCCCCTCTCTCTCAGCATTAGGTATTACCGGTTGTCAAGATGATGCCAAAATGAACACTCTTTCAAAACACATCCTTAACTGTCAGGCGAGAACAATTCTCATTGAGTGTGGGAGGGAAGGAGAGAGGAAAATGAAATCTGATGTGTTTTCCTGGAAGGTTTGGATTAAAGTCTCAATTCTCTGCCGCAGGGCCCCCAAATAACGATGCTTTGCCCAAAGTGAAGCCAAACCAAGAATCTCCATTTTCAGGGAAGCTGGCAGCTGCTTGGAGGAGGAACCTACCCAACACAAAAATCAATATTATCTCATTTGCAGCATTCCATCTTGTGCTCATGGATGAAAATAAGATTCACATTATCTTGGAACTTAATTGCTTCATTCACATTGTGCCCAAAATATTTCAGAAAGGATATGTTTTAAAACATATAAATAAAATGGAGCATGAATTATTTCCTGTTTAACCTACATTATAATTTCATCTTTGTGGTTAATTTTCTCATAGACCTGACTCTCTAGAAGAATTATATTTGAAGGATTCAGATGATGAATTATTTAGAGAAATGAATACTTCATTCCAAGTATTTTATAATTTGAAATGACTTACATAGATACGATTTTCCTTTAAGCATGGGACTTAAAGCCAGGCTATATTTGTGATCACTTAGCATTGATTCTTAGATATTATAAAAGGAAAAATGAATCTTGAATCATACTTCCTAAACCTGATGGAATGGTTCTGTACTTAGAAACTGTCCGTTATAATCATGTACGTCCCTACTGACCTCCTTCACACAATCTGTCTCGGGACTCCTTTCTGACTATATTCTCATATCAAGGTGAAGCATAGGTTAAAAGGAAGAAAAAAACCCAAACAATATCCTTGTCATCCTTTGCTGGCAGGTGGCAGAAGACCTGTGTCTTCAGAAGTCCCAAAGCATTTAATAGCTAGTGAAAGACAATCGTAGGGACAGATGAGCAAGACTTAGGGTTATTATTTTGTTTCTCACTTACGCTCTCCATGCTACGTCCTCGATCAAACACGCAGTAGGAACCAGAAATAATCCCAACCAGAAGTGTGCGGAGCTCAGGACCATCGTTGCCTGCCAGAAACAGAAGTGACATGGGTATTAATGCTTTTTCTTTCAAAAAGGTTTAATCAAGGTAAAATATCCCATAACCCAAAGCAACAGAAAGTATTAAATTCAGTGAAAGTTAAAACACACACCTAGGAAGAGTGTCAAGGGGGCCTGACGGGCTGAGCACCTCTCCATGATTTCTATCAGCTCTAGTCTCCATTCTTTTATTTTGACAAGTGTTGCCCACCCCTTTGATGAAGTGCTTGAATCCCCTTTTGGATCAGAATACTGTCCTAAATCCCTCCTGTGGAGAAAGTATGTGGTGGGGCATCAGACTTCTATGGAAAAAACTTTAACCTTCTCATCCGCCTCACTTATCCATCAGTTCACAGTCCTTCGCTGCTCATTCATTCACGGAACCAGTATCCTTGGAGCCAAGCACATTATTTCTCAACAGCCAGAAGGGGAGGAGGATGTACAGATTACAGTCTTTGCCTTCAAGGAAGTTAAAGTTGTGTGGTACACACACCCATACCCCCCCACACACACACACACAATTGTGTGGTGTAATCTACATGACACAATGGAATACAATCGTCATGATCACATTCTACGGGGGCTCATGATCACATTCTATGGGGCTTCAGAGGATGGCTAGAGGGCTGGGAAGACTTCTTAAAGCAGCCAGAGTGTGGGATGTGCCAACCCCATGCAGCCAAAGCCAAGCCCACGCCTAACCATGCCTTTCTTGCCTCTGAACTCCACCACATAGCCCTGTTTGTCAGAAGTTATGACAATGAAACTGGGAAGCAGTGAGGTTTGGGGTTAGGCTGCACTCCAGCCCCGGCCCTGGGGGACTTGCTTTCCTTTCTGAAGGAACAAATGGAAACCTTAAGCACAGGTGAGTACACTTTGTCCCATCAATCACAGCTCTCAGAATTCATCCTAAGGAAGTAAGAAAATGTGTGAAGAAGCAAGCAGAAGAATATTCACATAGTGCTGGACTATCAAGAAAAGTAAGAGATAAATGTCCAAGAAAAGGACTTACTAAATAAGTATACTGTGGTCTGTCCAATGGGCTGCTATGCAGCAATTAAAGGGATCTAGAATTACATTTGTTGAGACAGAGAGGTCCCATGTTATACTGCTCAGGAAAAATCTGGGCTCTGAGACAAGGTCTTATAGGGGCCTGACCATGGCCACGGACGTGTGGAAAAAGAAGATGATTGGCCCAAGCCTCCAACTGCACTTGAGATGTCATTTTCCCCGTGCAGGCCACCCACAAGGTATTGTATCATTGTAATTAATACATACGTCAATATACATCTCTACGTACCATACTTTTGGTAGCCCTGTTTTAGTATTTCCTCACCTTTAACAAACACATCCCAGGACTTCAGAAACAGTGAAGTGGCCCAGGCCTGATGGACCTGAGACTACCAACCCTTTGCTTATGTGCATGCTGATAAGTTCAGGAAACATGCACAGAGTGGCATATCAGGCGAAGTGTCTGGGTACTACAAGTGCTGACTTTTATTTTCACATCTCTTTGGCTATCTCTACTTCCTGTGTTTTCTATAGAAAACATATATTACTTACATGAAAGAAAAATTTAACACCCCCTCCCTCTGTCCCCACAAACAAACTAGAGGAAGTCATTGGATTAGCCGGCTGCATTCTGTAGTCCAGCCTTCCCCCTCCAATCTTCTGGCCTCTGTGGGTGACAGGGTCCCCAGGAGCCCCGCTGACAGGACCCCTTGGGTTTTGCTCTTGCTACAAATGCCTAGGGGGGTGCGTGGCCCACGGGAGGTGGACTTGTTCAAGCTATACTTGTGGGCTACATCCCAAGTCTTCTGCTAGGTATATTTGTCAAAGAATTCAATCATTTAAAAACAAATTTTACAACCATAATGTCATATTTTAAATGCATTATGAAACTCAGAACTTTTCATTGCTGAGGGAAATAAGAAAAATGAACTTTGAAATGCCCTGTTGGAAATGTGAAGCCCGTCCTAAATTAAGGTTATGTGGAGATTTGCAAGTATTGTTGTTTTGTTGTTGGTTTTTAAAACCTGCAGCTGTGAAGACATGTATATAACTAATTCTAAAGATGTGTCTCCAGAAGTTTCTACCACGCTGATTTTCACAGATTGACAGAGGTCCAAATTCCTAAAGTCTTAGCTAAAGCCCGAGCTTCAGTTATTTAAATGTACTTAGATTGTTCTTGTTCTCTTAGCATAACAAAAAAATGTTTATTGAGCTGAGCTAGGTGACAAATGGCACTTAATTACTCTCCCCTCCCCCTCACATATACTATTGAGTGAGGTTTTAAAACCATTCTTTTGATGTGGTAACAGTACCTTTGGGAAGAATGCACCCCTCCATTAACAAGTTGTTAGCTAGCAATGAATATTAACCACTTAGGTGCCAAACACACAGGACCCACTGTGGTAAATTAGAGGAAAGTGAGGCTCAGGTTGGTGCAATTACTTGATAAATTAGGACACAAGCTGGTGACAGCTGGGATGGGTTGACGGCTCGTCTGATTGTAATGCTGCACAGCACCGCCTCGAGTCAAACAAGAAGTATTAACCAGGGACACCCACAGAACTAGTGACCCGGGACTGGCGCCTCCACTAGCTTCAGTGTGCTACGAATCACACACACTGATCCACAGTGCCCGTGACAAGCCATCCATGACCATGGCGACAGATGAGAAAAGGTTTTAAAAAGGAGTCTGGCATAACCCGAGTTAGGTAAGCCCAGTTTGTGTTCTCCAGTGTGGGGCGAATTTGAAAAGATATGGTAGAGATGGAGGAGGCAACAGCTCGAGTGTGGGGAGACAAAAACTAAGATTGCTTTGCATCACTTGCATCATTTAATCCTTCATAGACCCATTTTGCAGAAGAAAAGTTAAGTTTGCAACTTCCCCCAAGGACCTGCAGCCAGAGAGCAGGGTCATCAAGATTCGAACCGAAGTCAGTTGGCCCCCAAGCCCTCCCCCCTCCCTTCCCCCGCCTGCGTCTACAGGGCGGAAGAGAAAGTCTCCAAGTTTAGAGACAGCACAGTACTCAAGGTATATGTCTGACTTCAATTTAACACCAGAAACACCAAGCCCCAAACTCAACATTTACAGTACAAGAAAATTTGGAGAACTTGTAAAGTTACAAAAAGGAAAGGAAACACAGGAAGAAAAAAACTCCCCAACCCCTCCGCCCCAACCCAGCAACAACAAAATAAAACCCAAAATATAGTGATAGCTTCGTAAGAATACTGTACAACCCCTTTTCTCCTCAGCAGAAAATACTGTGGCCAGATAAAGTACTTCGTGAGACCACACTCACTTGCCATGGGAGAGAGAAAGCAAATTCCAGGCTGAAGTCCAGTTCTTCATTTCCTGTAATCATTCTCCCCCATACAACATGCCTATAGCCTGGTGCCAATTTTAAATTTAGATTTACTGAAAAGGGGGGAAACAGCTCAGCTCAATATTTTGCAACGTCCTCAGCAGCACTCAGGAGCCCTGTGTGAATGCAAATAGATTTGCAGAAAAACAACCAAGGGATCCAAGAAGCACCGGACATCCCTCCGATAACTCAAATAACTAGCCCTATGTTTTAATCCTGATATTTAAATGCCAACCCTGTGGCAGGTCCGCCTACACGAAATTTAAAAATTGGTGGTAACATTCAAATTCTTCCCCAGCCCATGATGAGAAGGAATTTCCCAATTTCCCAAACAGGCTGTGAAGAGGTAGAGTGTTGTTTCTGCAATTTGCTTACTTAGGATATTTGCTAGAGAGAAAGATGAGGGTTTAGGTCCCTTGAATATTAACTTTTTTTTTTCCAGGTAGTGGTCATTTTGGTTTCCCATTTTTTTCTCTTCAGTACCCTATTTTAGAGACCAAACAGTTGGTCTGACCAAACAGCTGTATTGTATCACCCAGAATGACCCCTGCACCCTGCTCTGCACAGGCTTCCTGCAGTAGTTTTTTGGATGAGAAGTCAGGCAGTTATGACCATCCTGGTATGGGCGCTTAAAGCAGGGAACGTGGGATTGGGATGCAGAAATCCCCGTTTAAAACTGGTGCTGTGTCATCTGCAGGCTCTTCTACTTTCAGGAACAATAAAAAGCAATGTTCACGGAGACAGTCTCTATCTTCTCCATCATGGGGGCAGTTGTCCCCCAGGGGTGAGGGGAGGGCTGCAGGAACACCATGGGACCAGCTCCGACTCTCCTCCCACACAGGTGAGCCTGCTGGCTTCCAGAAATCATGCTCAGGGTCTGTATGTCTGTGGCATAGTGTTTATATCATGTGTTTATAGGCAACTCTAACAATCGGTACTGTGATTGTTAAAAGAGGTGCTGTGCTGACATAGTTCTCCATCTCCCTGAAGAGAAAACTTAGATGCCCAACAGTTACAAAAACCCTGATAATTTAGAAAATTAGGTTGAATGTTAAAGTACAGTGTTTAGGACAGATAGCCCATCTCACTGATTCGCCATCTGAACAATGAGCTCCTGGAAGAGATTATGACCTGCTGGCCCCTGCATCTAGAAGGTCCAGAGACTGGCTCCAGGCACTGAGCCCAGCGCCCTGGAATAGACAGATGCTGCTTTCGTGTCACTTAACTTAATTCAGTGGCTGCTGTGGTGTCTGAATACACAGTCTCGTGGCACAGTCTGTGGGTTGCCCACACTTCCCAAGATAGAGGAAGGACATGCTCTGCTCACTCCTCCCACAGACGCATAAAGCCAACATCTCAAGTCAAGAGCTTGGTGGAGGCACCACTGAGGAAGGGCATTTGAGAGGACCAAAGAGAATGACCGGTGAGTGTTTTTTGAAAGGCCGAGGGGCCATGAGGGCTTCTGTGGGAGGCTGGATTGCACTGTCTTGAAAAAGAGCACTGCTTTAGTTTGCTCAGGCTGCCATAACAGAATACCAGAGACTGTGGGACTTAAACAACAGACATTTGTCCTCACAGTTCTGGAGGCTAAACGTCTGAAATTGGGGGTCCCAAAGT